TCAAAATGTGATCATCTAAAAATATGCGTTATAAAGCTTGATCCTTTAAAAACTTTTTATTTTTTCTCTTTTTTTTTTGTAAAGTCAGTTTTCGAGGAAAGCGAGGAATACAAAAATATATATTTAGATGAAAATAAAACACTCTTAATGTTAGACAAAGAATCATCTTCTAAAATATTTTGCATTTATTTAAAATGTCCAATATATAAATATATTTCTTTTTACTTTAATATACACTTTTGAATACAATATAATAATACAATTAAAAAAAATGCAAAAATAAAATTATAATATAATTTTCTTTATAACGCGATAATAATTTTTATTCTCTCGCGCGTTCACTTTTCAACATTAATTTATCGAATCGCATACCAATCTTTTACATAACGTTCCCGTCATTAATAAATTTCCATATTACGTTTTGTTATTCATTAAAAGTTCCATCGTCGCTCGAATGCGTAATGATTGAAAATAAACGTGGTTTTATTTCGCGACATTAACGTCCAACAACAGCCGAGTCGGCCGATATGATTTATGTAAAATTAAAAAAAGAAGAAGAAAAGAAACAGAGTTACATGTCCGCGGAAAAGTTCGTCGGACGCTTCACGGAGGCCGAACGCAAGATTTTCCGACACACGTGTCACGTCTCACGTGAAAGTGGAAAGTTTTCCACGTGACTGCGAATCGCGGAAGTTTCCGCGATGGATTACTCGCCGATAGTGTCATCTGCATATGAATAACAAAGGCGGATTAAGTTCCGTTATATATCACGCGCGTTTCACGCTCCAGGCGATTTCGCGGATCTTAAATTTCCAGGTAATACCTGGATAACTCCCTCTCTTTTCCTTCGTGGAATTTTATCGGAGAGAGAGAGATAGGGATTTCGCGAACCCTTTTCTTCTCCGTGCGAGAGCTTGGCCAATCATTGGCGCGCAAACAACAGAGTCTACTGGATTCTAACCCTGTAGCAGAAGCAGGGGTTTTGTAGATTCCACCTTTTCGCGGAACCTTTGTAAAACTTTACTCGTCTCGCTGGATCCTGTCTTTCACACATATATTAGATTCCGTAGCGAAGAATCTACCGTCCGCAACTACTCTCTTCTATCCGCGGATCTAGAGTTTCTACAAATCGCAACTTTCGCGAATCCGAGAATCCCTTTCCTGATAAAACCTATCTATAACTCTCCTATATATATCTCTCTATCTCTATCTCTTCTAGATGACTTCAACATCGCGCCCTTAAATTTCGCGAATCCCTGCGAATATGTGGTTGGGACCGGATTAGCGATGGGATTAAGTGTCTTACAAGTAGGTTTAAGTTTGTTTCCGTGGTTTCGATTACCTCGACAAAAATAGTGCTTTCGAGTAGACTTAGACTTGGATGAGATAGATTCGAACTCTCTACAAGTATGAGTGTTCGCAGAGGAAATCAGAAAAAAATTAAGGGGAGGTTCTGGTCAAAATCGATCAAAAAGAATTTTTTTGTTGCTCTATTTTCATTCTTTGGGTCTTGAAAATGTGTAGGCAAAAGGATATTTTCATATCTAATTTATTTATTTATATTTATTTTTCTTCGTCAAACTTTAAACGCGTTTTTCTCGAAACACCTTGTTTTTGCGCGCGAAGCACGATTCCGCTTCAACGACTGAACCGATTTCGATGTTTGACGGCTCAAATTAAAGCTTATTCAATTTAGGGGGCCTTCAGGAAGCGTTTTTTTTCAAAAAAAAATTTTTTAATATTTTTTTTTAACGTTAAAGCCAAAAAAAATAGGAAAAACAGGTTTTTTTTTTCAAATGGCCGCCATTTTTTTTAAAAGGGTTTTTTAAAAATCGGAAATTCATAAGACCTTCCGAATTTCATCTAGTTTAAGAATATTTTTCGTTTTTTCGTTTCAAATCACTTGGCAGGGCTGTAGAGTGCTTCGCGCACATTCACTATCGCCGCGCACGGCTTTCTTCAGTGAGGGCTGGAGCCACCATTTTTAATTATTTTTGCTCGACAAAATTTTGTATGATTCGTCAAATATGTACTAATAAATGCCACAAACAGTTTTTTCAAAAAAGATTTACGTTCGCTCAAAAAAAATTCCTGAAATTACGTTAATTTTCAGGTCTTTAGACCAGAACCTCCCCTTAAGCATTTGCTCTCCTTTTGAATGAACACTGAAATTTATTATTATATATTTAATATAAAAAAATTAAAAATACAAAATAAATATTAAGAAAAAAAAAAATTTAATTGTGCCTCCTTCTGAAAAAAATCCTGCGAATGCCTATATCTACGCAAGTATTTCGAAAAACAAGAGCAGTGGTTTCAAGTACGAATCTGGACCAAGTAAGTTCTTTTATGAGTATTTAGAAATTTAACGCGTTATACCAAATTAAAAACTAATGTGCAAACAATGAGTAATATAACACAAAATATTTAATATATAATATTTAGCTTCATTATATAAATAATATATTGTAATATAGAAATATTATATAATATGTCATATTTCATATACATAATATCCAATATTTGCAGTCGTGCAGAAATAATATTTCACAATTTACCGATCACAGGAACATTCGATGAGGAAAATAAATGAAGGAGGGAGGAGGGAAAAAGACACTCGGCCGCAAAGAAAAAAAAATGAACACGATTCCGACGAGAGAGAACGCATCTCTCCCCCTTCCTTTATTTTCCACTCTTCTCTTCTAATTGCCTCGACCTCGGTGGAGTCATTAATTTCGTTTAATCGACTGCTCTTCTTCTCGTTGCCAAGAGAGAGAACCCTCCCGTGGGTCGATCTCTCTCGGTGAGCGATTTCCGAAGAGAAGGAAGTCCGAAAGAATGAGAAAAGAGAAGGAGAAAACAGACAGAAGGGATGTTGCGTGAAATCTCCGCGCAAGGTGATGAATTTGACGAGACGGGGATAGAGGGAAAGAAGAGAAGAACGCGATGCGCCCCAAAATTGTAATAATCAAGGGTCGACGAAAAAGCCGGTCGCTCGTTTACGCCGATTAATTAAGCGTGATGCAACAGAAATTACGGCGTCGAGATTCGACGATTATGTTATGACGTAACAAGCAAGAAGCGACGAATCGCCCGCGGTGATTATATGAGGAGTGAATTCTGACAGCAAGAGGGAGAAAGAGAGATGGAATGTGTGTGTGTAAACTCTGCGAGTGTTTTGCGATCGATTAAATACAATTATTATATTATAAAAACCAAAATATTGTTATTTTTTTATTTATCGACTTTCGGACCAATATTTTTCTCGCCTATTTATTTACAGAGGATGTTAAGAGAAGGAACAAGGGGAATTTCTGAGATCCCAACCATAGGATTCAAATTCCTTAGTTTCCAAATTTTCTTTCTTTCTTAATTGTCGCAATAACATCGCGTTTGGCTCTATTGGTCGAGAGGAATGAAGTGTAGATTGTGGTTTTAAAATTAAGGAGCTGACTTAAAAATATTCTTATTATTTTTTATTTATATTTTGATTGGCTATAATTTCAGGTAATAAACAATCTGTACAGCCAATGGTCTAGTTTACACCGTACGTCTTTTGATACGCGAATCAAAAGTGGTGCGCAAACGTTTAATTAGACTGCGTTTACACCAAATGTATAAATGCATGCGTCCACTTTACGGAATCCAAAATGGTGCGCAATAAAGTACGAAGAGTATTCCAAAACACTTCGAGAAATGAAAAATGGCCAACTAGTCAGAGTTATATTCGTCTTTTGATACACAAGTGTTTACAGCGTCACACATATGTTTAATACGCATATTATTATGATACGATACGTATCAACTTAGTACGTCATCGTTTACACCATATATTTAGTACGAACATTTGATACTCGTATCAAATGGTTGGTGTAATCTAAGCCAATAAATAGATATATAATCGAATCTAACCTCACTTTTCGATCGATAACGCAAAATTACTCCGGCATCCTTTTAAAATTGAAAAAAAAAAATGAATTTTTCCGATGATTTTGACCGCGATTTTAGACGCCATTAACGCGGATTTCGCCGACTAATGGGATGAAGGATTTCGAACGAGCGATTATACGAGGAAATCCCAATTCTCCTGAAATCCGTTTTCAACCCGCTCTTATAACACCTTATCACCCTCGTCGTTAGTTTCGACGAAACGACTACAAATTCGGCCTCCTCGATTCATTACAGATGTAAAGGCTGAAACCGCACGGGGTCGCCGCATAATGGTACTCACGCCACTTCACATGAAAGAGAGAGAGAGATGAAGTCGCGAGCTAAGTGGATATGGCAAATTTCGGGCTGAATTATCGCGGATCTAGCTGCGTCAATCCTTTCTCCATTTGGCTGACTATCAACCCCTTATTGTAATTAAGTTTACGGCAGAGACTCCCTAGTGAGGAGGCATTTTAATTCGCCCCACCCCTCTGCTTTTTCTCTCTTTCTCCAAAGTTGCACAATCAAATCTACACGATTCATCTTAACTAGAACTTTCGATTAAATTCTCGCGAGCGGCGAGAAAGAAAAATCTCCCATTTATAATTTCCACTCGCCAAAACTCAGTGTTGCTAAAAAAAAAAAAATAGAGAGAGAAAAATCCTACGCTAATCTTTAAATTTTTTGACCGAGTTTACATCAACGGGCGCTCTTCAACTTTTCCGCCCAAACTCCCCCGCGCAATTAAGTTTATACACGCCCTCCAATTCCCAAGCAAGCCATTAAATAAGTTTATATACCGCCTTTTCATTTTCCACACGCGCTCTCAACAAGATTGTCAAATTTATACATCGTCCCTCGACAAAAGTACATCTCTAATAGCAACAACATATCCGAGAGATATTCAGAGGAAATCCGGATGACATTCGACCATCCTCAGGATGTTCTCTGAACGTCTTCGGGATATGTGGTGCTATTAGGGGCAAGACTTGGATCGGTGCGAGGGACATCAGATAAAATCCCGGCGAAGGAAGAAGCTTGAAGAGGGAACACTCTTTCCTGACACTTACCTGTCACGAATCGTCACGAGACACCGTTCACCATGATCGCCGATATCCCGAAAGAAGAGAGAAGTCTTCAAGTATCCCTCGAGAGATCGCACGAGATAGAGACTTAGGTCACAAGAGAAATCTACATCCTTCGAAACGCACTCAGCTGGCTTTTCGATCACCCAAGTTTCCGCACACGCGACAAACAAGCACCCCCTTTTGTCCTCCTCCCTCTCGGTCCGGTTCCTCTCACGAAAGGTCGACGGGGAAAAAAAATTGGTATCACGTGTGTATATCGAGAGAGACTGTCTCTCGATTTCTCCCTCGGAAATAGAAAGAGAGGGTGTACAAGAGAGTGTGAGAGAGAGAGGAGGAGGGACCGCGAAAAAAAGGGCTCAGGGCGAGGACGACAGAAAACCCGAGCTCAACGTTCGCGCAGCGACTGGCGCCCGACACCTCCACCCTTCCGACAACACCCCAACCACCCCCTCACGCGGACCAGATGGGAAGGGGGTCAGGAACCGGAGGAGGGGGGCAGAGGGCACGCAGAGGGCGCCACCGGCAGAACGTGGGATCGAGAGGGAGCGAGCGAGCGAGAGAGTAGGGATTGGTTAGCTTGGTGTGGATCGTATGGTGAATCCGTACGGTTTGGCGAACGCGGCGCGGAGTGGGAGGCGGGAGGGAGGGAGGGGTCGCGCTCCCACTTTCCCCTCCCTCCCGTCTCCCCAAAGAGGGGATTTCGCGCGAGAGGGGCGCACGCGCGCGGCGCCCTAGATTTCGGTCTCTCTCGCCTCCTGATTTTTCGTAATAAAAACGTTTGTCTTGCCGGAGTGGCACGGCTCGCATATCTCGTGACGTGGCGTGCAACGCGTGCTACACGCGCCTCGGCGCGTCTCTTTGTTTTTTCCTTCCCACCCTCCTCTTCGGCGGGGGAGAGGAGGATTGTATCCGGGACATCCGCGTTTCGACCAGCGCGAGGCGAAAATCGAGAGGGAACGAGAATCGATGATGGAGTGACGTGTCTTCCCTTCCCGAATACGACGACGATAGATAGGGAAAGTTGCTCGAGTGTTGAAAGAGGGTGAGGGGGACGGCTAATTTTTAAGTAGGCGTGTTAGGAAGTGGAAAGAACGCTGTTCCCGGTATTTGTTTCCCGCCACGTGTAGAGGAGAGTATCATCGTAGGATCAGGGTTGATTTAGGGATCCTGTATTATGCTCGCTAATAGAAGTTTCACAGTTTCTTTCTTACCTTTTTTCGTAAGACAATAATCCTAATAGCTCGACATATCCGAAAGATATTCAGAGGATATCCAGGAGATATTCGAACATCCTCAGGATGTTCTCTGGACGTCTTCGGGATATGTGTGCTGTTAGGGAAGCCTGAACGAGTATAAGGAAAGCTTTCTCCGAAAAAAAGCTCACTCTTAAGTCAAGAGTGCGAGATGGGGAATGGATTAGAAAACGAAAATAATTTTGTATTACACGTGTAGGGAAAGTGGCACTTTGTGTGCGTGTTTTCTGTGCGGAAAGCGACCGATTTCCCACGCCGCCATCTAGCGGCAACGCGGTGAGTGAATAAGCCAATGCTTTGCCCACGGCTTCAGCCGTGGACAATGACTTTGAACACGGCTATTCCCGCACCGTGCCGCCGCAAGATGGCGGCGTGCGATCGGTCACTTCGCGCACGGAAAACGCGCACAAAGCCACTTTGCCTGCACTTGTAATACAAAATAGTATGTGTATCACGTGCGGATTGACAATTGTTCACTCGTGTGGGGTGGTCGCACTCGCCTTCGGCTTGTGCATCCATCCCCCGCACTCGTGACCAATTGTCAACTTTCCACACTTGATACACAATATACTATTATCAATTTACGTAAAACGCTAAAATACAAGCAAAGATCGCAAAAAAAGACTCGTGTTTTCTTACAGCTTAAAGAACACTTTGATATCGGACGCTCCTTTCTAGCTTCTCTTTCTCTCTCTTTCTCTTTCTAGCGAGGATCCGACTCGATTATGTAATTTAACCTGTAATTTATCCGCGTGAATATCCGGCGGAACATCTAGAGTTTGTGGTCCAAACTACTTCGCGAAAACCACTTTAACACGCTGCACTCGCGATGCAACGTTCCGCACATAATGATAAGCGTCAAAATTACCATCGCAGCCGCAACGTAGACCGCGTAAGAAATTGTTGAGGGTAATTTATATATAGCTAAGAAGGTAGAGAGTAATTGGCTCATTATTAAAATACAATTTGTTTACATACAATTATAGTTACACGATATCAATTACATGCCTTTTTAACAAACGTGGGAAAGCACAATTTATATATTAATATTAATATATACAATATCAAATTTTTATGCTTCCGCGTTTGTAAAAAGTGTAGAAAATTAATATAGTAAGCCTGAGCAAACTGTTCTTTCTTACAAATGTGCCTGGTATATAATATATATATATATATATATATATATATATATATATATATATATATACCATATATGTATAAATATGTATAATATATTTATTCAGAATATTTCTAAATAAATGTGAAAAATTTTAAGAGATGATTTCTTTGCCGAAAATTAAATAGCATTTTTTATATAAACATAAATATACTCTTACATCTTTCCCTGAGGAGTTACACTTTTCCCAAGGGGAAGTTAAAAATTAGATTTTTACTTTTTTTCTTACTATTGAGTTTATGAAAAAAAATAAAAGAAATAAAAAGTTTCTAAAGAAATCAAGCTTTCTATTGCATATTTTTTAATGATTACATTCCGGTCCAAAAAGTCTTGAAAGATTCTAATAAAAAATTGAATAAGAATTTTTAGTTTCATTTCTTTGTAACAATATACAGGAAGAATAAAAAAAAAAATTAATAAATATCCTTTTTACTAGTAGAAAATATATCTACCGAATTTTATTTTTTCAACTTGTTCAAAATTTGGGGAAAAAATTAAGAACCTAATTTTCAGCTCTCTCTCTTTGAAGGAGTGAAACTCCTCGAGGAAGGAATATTTTTTTATAAAAAATCCCCCTCAATTTTCGACAAAAAATTATTTCCTAAAGTTTTTCGCACTTATTTAGAACCATTCGGCATAATATAAATATAATATATATATATATATATATATATATATATATATATACATATTTCTAAAGGGAATTTATTTTTAACATGAAGTTAAAAATGATAAATCTTCCATGAAAAAGCTTTTTTTAAGCTGATTGCAAGATAAATGATAAACATATTTCTGTCTTATATACATATATATCGCGAATATTCTGATCGTTCTTAGCGGAAAGGATCTACTCCCGAAGGACGAGGCAGGCAACTGGAAAGTTAAATAGAAGCCCGTAATAACGAACCCAAGACGTGCTTCAATTGCAGACGGACTATTTTCATATTTATCCCTTCCGCCGAAGCCGAGGAGCTCGTCTTTGTCGTCAATTAGTAGGACTCAAAACGTAAGAAGAGACGAATTGCATAGTTTCTTAACGATATACCGAAAGAAGACGAGAGAGAAAGAGAGAGAAGTCATTACGTAGGAACGTCGTGCATAATGGCATATTGATGAGAATTGTTCTTTAAAGACTGTTGGCGACTTGCGGGAGGCGGTTTTAATAAGAAGAACCGTTCTGAAGCCTCGACAACAATTAATGGATTAAAAATTTTTTTCCGACGACGACGACAACGAGTTGTCCTCTCCTTGTTAGAGATTTCGCCAAAGACAGAAAAAGAACTAATGATAAGCTTATGCCGAGAGAGCTCTTTCCGATGCAAAACGCACTCTATTTGGACAAACGCGGAAGGAAATCTCAGATTTTCTGCTGCAATTTTTATGTATTTTTTCTTTCGACGAATAAAAACAACATCGACCGTCCAGAAATCGCGAATTTACACAACACAAGCATATAAAATTCGATTCGAATTCGAATGGAAATTAAAAACAGTTGCGATTTAAAGCCGGTGCGGAAAACACGCTCGATTTATAAATTACAGTATACAACAGCAGTTTAATAAAACGCGCGGTCTCTGTTTTTTGAGTTAACCAAACCGCAGCTTGGACAATTGTTTTCTCTCCCTCTCTCTCTCTCTCTCTTTCTCTTTCTCTCTCTTTTTCCGGTCCACTAACAGACTATTAAACGGATGTTTCCAATTTATTTTTAAGCAATTCCCCAACCGGTGATTATTGTTTCGCGAATTAAAAGTTAGTTAGCGTTACTTTGTCATTTTGCAAAGTTATTTTGCTCTTCCTAATCTGTGCAAAAAGATTTATTAAATCTACCAATAATTGTCCAGGTAAAATTAATTGTATATAAAATGAATATATTACATCATATATTAAATTTTTGAGCAAAATGGCTATTTCCGGGACCATTCAATACGATGGGGATGCGTTTGACAGATTTTTTTATCGAGAAAAAAATGTTATACACTATAATAAATATTTCAAAAGTTTTGTTCATTTGTTGAATTTATTTTTTTTTTTTTTAATATATCGAGATTTTAAAATTGTTCGTCAAATATTTTTATATAATAAATCAAATTTTAGTTTAATCAGAATTTTTTCGGAAAAGGGTTGTTCACTCTTCTGAAAAATCCTGTGAGAATTAATGCTCTACCAAATTGAGAAGTGCCGGAAATAACAATTCTTGTAAACTTTTATATGAAATTGTATATAAATTCCTCGTTTATCCGTGAAAATGCGGATCTAAACGGATCGTCGCAAGTATGTGCGACAAAGACATTATGGTAAAGTGCAAATTCATCTTGGATCCCGAAATATATCGGAAGGCTGAAACGTAATGGCGGTTTGTATCAACCGAGAAGGACGATGCTTCATGAGATGCTGAATTATGCAGACACTTCTACACGGCGTCGTTATCGGTCGAAAATCGGGTCACCAGCGAGTCCGGGAGAATGCTGAAGAGAAGGAGGAGGCGACACGTACAAATGCGCCCTTAATATTAACCCCTTCGAACTAGCAGAAGCTACGAGCACCGCGTGTCCTTTCGAAACCAGGAGGAATTTTCGTAACCGGAAATACACTACCGGAAGTTCGTTGTCGCGGGCTACAAAATAAATATATTCGCAGAATGTGCAGAAAATACGCATCCCGGTATTTTTTTCATTTTTTTTTTTTTTTTTCGCGAATCGACGCGCACAAACTTGACTTTCCGGAGGCAAGAGAGCTCGCCTTCCTTTGTAAAATGAACGAACATTCGTCGAGGCGAAGGAATAGAGAGAAAAATAGTAGTGAGGAATTTTTGTACTTTCTTCCTTACTTTTTTCTAGACGCCCCCTCTTTTTGACAAGTTCTCCGGACAATGTGCGTCGGGAGAATCAGCGAAACGTGAAACCAAGGGAAACTAAGAAAATAATGGGATCAAAAAATTTAGCAAGTATACAGGGTGATCTTCGTAACGGTCGAGATT